CTCAAATGTAAAATCAACTTAAGGAAATGGCTTAGGAAAAGCAATTAGATTGGTTGTAGCAATTAGATTTGTTGTGTTATATGCATGTATGTGTCATAAATTCAAGTTAGGACTTATATGTATATCATATATCATATATATATATATATTTATACATTTATTTATATTAAATGATTAAAAAGATTCCCAGAATTTGATTGTATAATTGATTTATTTGGCTATCAATTAATCTATTTTAACATATTTTAAATGCTAACTACCAGACAGTGACAGCTGGTCATAAAGATGAGTAAACACCCTACCTAAATGACTTTATCTGTCTCATTTGCTACTGAAAGAAATTAGTAATTTTGTGATTACCTCTTCAATTTAGTTGAGTATCATACACCATTAAAACTGATGCATATACTCATTTATAAGCCACAAATAGAAGTTTGTGTTTGCACTTTTTCACATTAATCTTTCTTTCAATGAAATAATAATTATAACATGATCAATTTTCCTATAGGAATTTATAGCTTGTAAAGCAGTTGCACATATAAAGGGTGATTAAAAACATAGTTAATGTTTATATTTCAAAATACATTACAGTAAAAGACAGATTACCATCAATCCCTCAAAGAATACCTCCTTCCTTTGAACATACTTAGCCCATCATTCTTGCCGCTTTCTTAAACCAGTTCCAAAGTCCTCTCTCAGTTGTTTTGAAGAGGTATGATATAAACACATTGAATGCTGCTGCTAAGTGACATCTAATAGAAAGACTCATAACAACATGAAGTGTGTCTTCAACCACCCTTTTCACTGGATCTAGTCCCATGTAACTTCTGGATTTTTTCTGTAGTTAAAAATAAACATGAAAGGTAATGTTTGAATCAAATCAGGACATCAAGGCAGCCAGGACAGCACAACTCAAGACATTTATTGGATATAATGTTTTTTACATCTCGTGACCTGTTAACAATTCTACCATTATCTGTTTGTTTTTGTTTGTTTGTTTGTTTGTTTGTTTTGAGATGGGGTCTCACTATGTAGTTCAGACTTCTCTGTGACTCACTGTGTAGCCCAGGCTGGTCTCAAACTTGCACTGATCCTCCTGCCTGAACCTCCTGAATGCTGGGATTACAGGCATGTGCCACCATGCCTGGCTTGTCATCATCTGTTATTATCTTTTTATTTCTATTTATTTATTTATTTATTTGGTACCGAGGATAGAACTCAGGACCTTATGCTTTCCAGGCAGGCACAGCACCCCTGAGATGAATCCCAGCCGGCTTATCTTTTTTTTTTTTTTTTTTTTTTTTTTTTCATCTTTGTGATTGTGAGGCAGGTGCCAGAACCACTGAGCTAAATCCCTGGCCCTCTCTTATCATTTTTAAAGATAAGAAAACATAACCTTAGAATAACTGAATGACTTCACAAAGATATCTGAATAATAAGTAATTGAGTTGAGAATGAGAACCCACTTTTCTGATTTCTAATTCCATGTTCTCTTCTCATTTTATTGACATTCTCAACAGTTTTTTCAGAAGTAATTGAGTGAATAGTGGGGTTCTTTAATTGCTATTTGAATGTTCTTAAATGTAAAATACAGAAATGTGATTGATGTAAATACAATAGAAATATGCTCTGTAAAAACAGATTTTTGCTTTAAAAATTTTTTCAAAGCCCGTATAGAAATTATTAAAATGGCATATAACTTTCTTAATAAAAACAATAGGGAAGCATTACATGTTTATAAGATTTACTACTATATAATGAAACTATAAAAAGAATTGTGGCATAATCCAAACCAGGGATATATATCATAACAATATGATTCCAAAACAATTGTTTTTTTTTAATTTGATATTGTTAGTTATTTAATTTTAATGGATATTATCATTCTTTGGTCATATTTTTGAAATAGCAAAGTCAATCTTCTATCTGAAGAAACTTAAGTGCATGTATGAATTGAATTCATTACAAAATATCTAATTTTCCTTGTGTAAATTATTTTGCTAATCTTTCTCAAAAACACTATTTGGCTTCAGATTCTGCTCTTAGATAAACTTTAAGCTTCTGAGGCACTAAAGCTATATCTGGATGACATTTTTCTTCAACACAGTTAGAAACAGAGAATACATGTATCAAATTGAGTCAAATGTGAAACAGATGCACTTCTACAACATCTTGCTCTGTGATCTTTGCTAATTTTCCATAGCTATTTAAGTTTCTTAACAAAATGAGAACCATTGCTTTCAGCATGAATGACCACTCCTTCTTTCCTAAAATCATCTCATCCTTTGTCTCAGGAACACTATTAGGGCTTTCAGCTCTCCCTCTTGTTTTGCCTCTGTCTTTTGCTTTAATGTTGACACTTTCCAGTATTCTCTTTTCTGTCTCCTTTATTCCCTTCCCACATCACCTGTCTTCATACATTCTTAATTCCCAGTTCTGTGTCTACAGCTCAGAGATTTCAGCTGAGTTCCAGACCTATATACTTCAAACTGAACTTGCTCTATTTTTTTCCACAGTTAACTCCTTTTACTATATCCATTACTCAGATAATCTCCCAAGCCAGAAACCTTTACATGACCCTTGACTGTCTCCATCCTGCATTCCCCATAGTCTTATGAGCCATCCTGTCCTGATGAATTTCTGTGCTTAATATCTCCTCATATTGGTCTCTTTTCTCCATATTCACTACCATAATTTTATGGAAGCTCATACTCTTCCTCTAAAATTATCTGATTTTCCAACCCACTCTCCATATCATAGCCTGATTCCTCCTAATAAAGTAAAAATATGACCCAGTCCCTCTTGGCTAAAATTGTATGTCATTGTCCCACCAATGACCTTGAGATAAAAATTCTTAACTGACATTCTCAGCAGAACTCAACAGTTCTTCCATGACCTCTTGCCTCTTCTCTAGCTTCTTTCCCTCCCTCTATCCTGTAGTAGAGCCACATATGCTATCTTCCCTTATATATTATTTTATGTTATTATTTTATTTCCCCACATATGATATCTTCCCTTATATATTACTGTAAGTATCCCAAAGAAGGAAAATAGCAAGGACAAAGTTCAGAGAAAATGTCATTATCTATAGCTATCTTGACAGTTGAAACTTTTTGATCTCCTGATTCTCATAGTTCTCTTTTAAGGTGCATTTTACCCATATTCTTTTGTGTCTTTCTCTTATACTTTTTAACAAAATTAACAATAGTATTTTCTGAGAATGTAATATGCACAAGCTATTTCCCTTAAATGCTCTCCATGATGTCTTATTTAGTTCTCACACCACTCTAAGATAAAAATGGTTTTATTTCCATTCTACAAATGAGGATATGGATGAACATGGAAGTCAGGTGACTTAAAATAACTTTCAGAGCTAGCACAGTCAGAAAGGAATCATTTGTTTGTGTATCTGATAATCAGGCTTGAAGAAAGTTGACGTCTCTTAACAGCCTGAGTCTGATCTGTGAGTGAGGGGTTTATTTCCATGGAAGATTCCTTTATCACAAGACAACTCTTTTATGTCAGACATTAAATGTGTTAAATTTTGTTTTCTTTGTTAATGATTTCTATATGCATGCTATGAACTTTCTCCTTGAGAAAAATTGGAGCACAATAATTATTTTTGTTAGACTCTTTTCTCTCTAACCACAAATACACAGATTATGAAATAGTTACTCATGGCAGTTTGAGCTATCTGAAATGAAATGAATTTATTCGAAGCTAACTCAATTAATTGATTCAACGGCCTTGTAGAGACATGACCTTTCTCATGAGGGAACAAGAGACATAATTTATTAATGACATCATTTTATTTGTGTGTATAAACAAAAATCTTAAACTTGAAGGACACTCAAAGATATGAAACGCTGCAAACCAGATTTAATAACGTGTATTTAGCAACAATGCTTTCCTGGCATCAAAGCCCACTGTCACACCAAATTAATAAAATGCCAACTGCAAAAGAACAGAGGAGGTTTTAACATCTAAATGTATACTCTTCTTTCCTTTGTAACAAAGACATTTAGGAGGAAACATGTTTAAAATCAATGCAAACAACAAGCCTTGCTCCAACAAGACTCCAATCAGAGAGTCAGACTTAAAAGTGATGAAAAAAATCTTTCTTTTTCTTCCCCTGAGAGTCTGTCTTCCATGTATTTTTCTCATGCAACTGATTTTAAAACTAGCATGCATATTACATCAATTCCCATGTGAGCAAATCAGATAATTATATTAAAATGCACTGTAATTGAGAGAAATGAGGCAGTGGAAGAATAGAAGGAGTAGGGAAGAGGTATTTGCTAAACAGTGGCTCATATTTCAAGAAATAAGGCCTATTTTGAAAACTTATCCTTTTTGTACTTAGAAGTAATTCCTGTGTTCTAGCCCGAGTAAAATGGATTTGAGTGCACTTTATCATACACATGTATATTGATATTATTTCCTTGTTATCTAGCAGTCTAGACATAATTCAATTTCTGAGAATTGGCTAAGACTTTAAAGAAATACGTTATCTCTTTTATGTGAATAAAATCCATAGAGTAAATGATCAGTTCTGTATATAAAATGCTACTGCTCTGGCCAATAAGAATAACTGCTCATCCACAATTGCCTAAATTAATCTCAGGAATAGAATAAAGCACTTGGCTGATATGAAAAAACAACCTCGTTGTACTCTGTGTGTACTGTGTGAGTGCTCTGTGTTGGTGTCTGTGTGTGTGTGTGTGCTCGTGCATGTACGCGTGCATATGAGCCAGCTAAAGTCCAAGCGATTAGCTTTTGTCTAGTCAACAAAACAATAAGGAAAGGATTGTTAGCCTGATATTTTCAGCCATCTGGATGGCTAAATGGAATTACTATTAAGGGCTAAATAGATATTGTTTGGTCCATATAATCAAAACAGATAGTGGTTCAGAACATCTCAGACCAAAAGAATAAAGGTTTCTTCTACTACAGAGCCATTTTAGGAAGAAATCTGAAATCAGCATCGTCCATGTTTTCAGGGCTCCCCCGTACTGTGTGAAGACACAGAGCCTGCCTGTGTGGAATCACGTTTGCTGCCATCTGAAGAGCAGTCAGCTTTTTCACCTGATGATCAGTTGGGAACCATGTTGTTACTGAAATTCCTTTCCCCGGAACTAACATCAAAGCAACCAGGAGGATGCTTTGTTCTTACCAATCGTGAGTGTTGCTAAAACAGGAAGTAGAAAACTTACTCCTAATTCTCCTGTGAAAATTTAATCAAAAATTGTCTATCTTTGAACTGATTTTAAATTGAGTAGAAGTGTGTCACATTAAAATTCTAGTTACCTAGGGGCTGGGGATTTAGCTCAGTGGTTCGGTGGCCTGCCTTGCAAGTGCAAGGACCTGAGCTCAATCTCTAGTAAAAAAAAAAAAAAAAAAATTCTAGTTACCTAAACTAAGGAAACATGCAGACTATGCAAAATAACAAAACAAATAGAAACACAAGTCATATGTGATGGATGGTTAGGGGAAAAGGAAGGTGTAGTAACTGCTGAATTAGCCAGCATGATAGAAAAGCCAGTCAGTGAGACTGGTCAAAATAGCCCATATAAATTGCTAAAATTCAGTTCAGCTTAACGAATACTTATTTTTCATTCTCAAATATGTGATCCTTATTGTTCTAAGTGATAGAAAAAGATCTGGTCAATGGTTCAAAAAGCTTAAATTTACACTGCATAAATTGATGCTTGTAGTTTACTTCTGTATATTACTAATAAATGTATAAACAAAATCAGAATTTCTATAGATGCCTGAGTAAGAAATTGGTCATGGGGAAAAAAGAGAAAGTGTATGATTGTGAAATATTTTCTGTGGTGAAAGTTGGAATTTAAAGATAAATACTGATCAAAATGTCTTTGTGCCCACTTCTCTCTGATTGGAGACTCTTGGCATTAACTTTAAAAAATTGTAATTGTAAATTCAATTTGTTCTCTGGACGATTTGAGATGTAAATCTTTTTTTAAAAAAAACCTTGCCACTGTTACAACTCAGAACTTTCTTTCTCAAGTACCTGGAGCCATAGCTTTGAAATGAATTTCATTTAAGAGTATATCTTCAATATGTATCTATTTTCCTATGAATGATTCTATTTTCTCTTTATGGCTGAGTAGCACTCCATTTTACAGAAAAACGACATCTTCTTTATCCAGCACACATGTGTAAATACTGAATAGTTTCTCTGGTGTGAATAATCTGCAATAATACAGAAGATCCTAATAAGATTACTGACATTGAGAAATGGGAAGAAAGGAGCTTAAGGTGTAGGGAAGGTGGGACGGGTAGGGGAAGGATAAAAAGGGAAAAGAAAAAAATGTGAGATAATGAAAAGATGGAAATAAAGTGGTTGTAGATGGGGAGGGGAGGAGGGGGTGAAGGGAGGGCAGGGACAAGGGGAAAAAATGAGAACCAAGACCTGCCATGTAGAGGTACAAGATCCCAACAATGAATGTAACTGTACTGTATCCCTAAAATGTACCAATAAACTCAATTAAAGCTAAAAAAAAAAAAAAGAAATGTAATCATCAAGAAAGATACTGCCTCATCTCCTAGTCTCTGTGGAAGAGGGTAGCAGCCTAACTTCCATGGGGACCAATTAGCAAGCACTGGTGCACTAAACACAGAGAAAACCATTTGCAAATTAGGACCAACTCAGTGTGCTGGACATTTCCCATTCATTGCTTCCTTCCCTGACATCCTCTGGTACTTTTCTATTAGCTCGTCTTGGCTCTTAAAAATCCTCTTGCCAGGGCCAGGGATTTAGTTCAGCGGTTCGGTGGCCTGCCTTGCAAGCGCAAGGACCGGAGTTCAATCCTGGGTACAAAAAAAAAATAAAAATTAAAAATAAAATTAAAAAATCCTCTTGCCAGCTGGGAGTATAGTTCTGTGGTGAACACACTTAGTATGTGCAAGGCTCTGGGTTAAATCTTCAGCATATAAACAGATGCAAAGTCTTCCTGCCCTATCGTTCAGTGGAACTGAGTTCGTACTTAGTTCTGGTTTATCTTCCCTATTGTAATAACCTTAAATCAAGTCTTTCTTGCCTGTTTTCATGTTGTATGATACAATTTTTCTGTAACAATAGAAAGTCTATGACAAGGATCTTTGTAGGCGGGATGCTCAGTATCGGTGAAGGCTTGGAAGTATCAAATTCTGCTATGGGGAAATCTACCCAAGTTTGCTACCTCTGTGATGCTACAGCTCTGTCTGTGCCTCAGATGGTGTGTATTTGTCTGAAGATTCTGTCTTCATCTCATCAGCAGTATCAGGATGCAAGTAGAGCTTTTGCAAATTTCATCCATTGTCTTCTACTTTCTTTCCCCAGTCAAGAGAGATCATATACAAGATGTACATCCTCAGGTCCCTCATATTGTTACTTCCCATGATCCTCTCAGACTATTTCCTAGGCAAGTGGATTGAATACAAATCACTTGGCCACAGCCTTCCTAGGGACAAGAAAGCAGAGTTGGGTGTTGGAGTGGGGCATAAGGAAAATGATAGATTCGGGCATAAAATATAAGTTAATACCTTATGCTTAAGAAGCCAAGCCTAATCTGCTCTTCAAAGCCATTCATGATGCCACAGATGTATAAGAGTTTTATCTCTATGATCCTAAAGTCCTACTCTACCCAGCACAATGAAGTCTCTGTCTTGGGCTACACCTGGCATTAAGTTCTAAATTGCATAATTCTATCCAGTCAGCCACCTCTTCAGATATGTGACAGAACTCTCTAGTGTCCACTCAACCCTTCCCACTTCTTGATAAAAAATATTTTCAGGGATCTTCTAGAATAGTTTTGGGATTTTATGGGGCGGGGCAGGGAAGAAGAAAACTCTAGGACCAGACTGCAGGCACAGACCTCAAGAAGCTGGTCATTTGCACAGCCTGGACCAGAACCTATAACGACTACTTATCTGTCTAGTGACTGGCCCCTCTCAACATCATCCTGAGTATCCATGGGCACCTTGCCTGACCATGCTAGGCTGCAGATTTCTTATGTGCAAAGTGTATTAACAATAGCCATTTCATAGGGCTGTTATGAAGAAAACAATATGAATAAGCCCCTGGAATCATTTGATAATTTGTGTTCTATAAACATCAGATCCCTGCCACTTCCCTTTTTTCCTTTCTCTATTGTAACTTTTATTACACTGCACTGATATCATTTATTGAAGTCTCTAATTTGATTCATTGCAAGCAAATAAATTAGTATTTATTTGATAATCTAGCCTTAACATCGCTAGATTATCAATATAATACCAATATAGCTGCTTAGGAAATGATTTTTAAATGAATGAAATATTAAAATGTTTAAAAAGATGTGTAAACATAACAACAGTTGTATGGGCACCAAAAGTGTATAAAAGTAAATGTCCTAGAAAGAGTCAGAAAGAGTTATTATTTAATAATTAGCATGTACAGTTATTTTTGTGATGATGATGAAAATGTTCTGGAAATGGGATAGTGCTGCTGGATGCACAGCTCTGTGAATGAACTTACTTCCATGGAGTTGTACATTTAGAAATGGTTAAACTCGAACCAAGAACATCATTTACTCATAAAACAATTGATCAGCATGTACAAGGCTGCTAGAGATCCCTGCAGTCAGGTTCCAATACCCACCTGCCCAGTGTGCTATGCAGGCCTGAGAAAAAAGAATACACTAAGAGACAGGACTAAGAGAGAGAAAGTGGGGCACCAGGACGACCAATGCTTGTGCAACCGACAAAGGCACTAGACGGTCCCAGGCACTGACTTTTATTGGCAATCAGTTGGGGTAAAGGTGATGTGTGGTTTCTGTGGAAATTAATGTAAACAAGGCTCATGATGGACAGGACAAAGCATTCTCAAATTAGGAACAAAATAGATGAATTATATGATTGTAATTAGAAGATTGACCTTCTAGTCTGAAGGTTTTAGTTGTGGGAGCAGAATTTGGATGCGAAGAACTCTGACCTCAGCACTAGGCTTCACCCAGACTCACTTCTCAAAACAAGCCAATTGTGGGGTTCACTTTTCGCAGTCTGCTTTGGGGATAATTAATATTACAGTCCTTTGCACAAGGCCATGGGTTTGATCTTCAGCACTGAAACAACAGTTAACCTTTTTATTTTTATTTAATTTATTTTATTTTATTTTTTATATATTTTACCATATTTTTTAAAAAACTAACCCCTCCTAAGAAGTTCTATTATCAGAAAACATTTTGTAGCCTGTGCCACATAATGTCAGTCCATCACCCACAGAATAGTTTAAAAAGTCTTCCTCTGTTGTTACGTAGCAGTGGGATGGAAAGATTGGGATATCTGCACCCAAAGTGCAACACCTTTTGAAAAACACTACTTCCGGTGGGTGGTTTGTTTTGAGTGTGTATACAATCAGGACATTGAGGCTTCCACTCTTCTCTGACAAGACCCCTGGACTAGAAGAGGAAGCCTTCTGATACTCAGTTTCCTTCCTCTTCTGCCTCCATATCTGATGAAGAATAAAATGGAAATTGTGCAAATAAAGGTGCATTATTGAATGTTTTTAATTATAAAAGTTTTTTGTAGTGTTTTTTTAAAGCATAGCTAGTGTTTTACAGCCATCTAGTGGTCAAACTTGGGCTTTGCAACAGAAAATTTAATTTTCTAAATCATTTCCTGTCAAAATATTGCCAAGACATGTAATAGCATATGGAAAACTATTACCTAACTAAGGAAACTAAATTTGAGAAAACTGAATTAGGAGTCATTTAAGTATGCTTCCTAAAGACCTGTGACTTTGGGGTTTTCCAAATGGACAGATGAGTTAAAATTTGGTTCAGAGGGTATGATGATATGAATAATAATCATTATAACAAAATAGATAATACTTATTGAGTACTTACCACGTGCCAGAAAATATCCTGAATTATTTTTCATACTATGCATTTAATTCCTATAACAACTCTATAATGTAAATTATCTTATGCCATTTTTAAAAAGGGAAATAGATATTAAGAAGAGAAATAATTTGCCCAAAGATGAACCAGCTATTGATTGATAAAGATTTAAAACACAAGAGCCTTGCTTCATAACCTTAAGGTTGTTTCCTATAGGGTAAATATTTATGTAAGGTACACTTAGGACTTTGAAATTGAAAAAGCTCCCTACTATTCTAAAGCTTGCTAATACTTTCCAAACTGATGTGGTGGGTTTTAAATATGTGGAAAAGAAAGAGTTTAAGGGTGGAATTTGATTGATGTATTTCACAAAGAAATTTCAGACAGAGAAGAAACTTGACTTCCAAGGTTGGTATGATGTGGACAAGAGCAGAGAGGGAAGAATGGCCCAAGAAGAAGGAACAGCAGGATCAAGAGGAGGCCGAAAAAATTGGAAGGAAGTCTAGGTAAGTGGACTGCATCATGTGAATTAAGTGAAGACTGGAAGGACGTGTGTAGGAAGAGGAAAGTTAGGTCAGTTTGGGCCATGTTATTTATGGAGAATGTTGACATCAGACTAAGGAGGGAGAGCTTTATCCATGTGATTATAGAGAATCACTGAGAATTTTTAGATTAATATCTGTTTCTTTTATAATTTTTGAAAGCAATATGTGACCGATGTAGAAAAACTGGGAACTAAGAAAGACAGAACTAAATAACTATCATTAACTTCACACCTCTTTGTTAATATTTGGAGTTTATCTTCCAGTCTTTATACACATACATGTTTTCCCCCCCAATAACCTTCTTATACTTTTATAATACATAACAACACACTAATTTAATGTTTGGTTTGTCTTTTAGCATAGTACATGTCTATTGTAAATAAATAAGAAAATGGAAACATAAACCCTAAAAGAAACATGATTATAAGCAGTGTCAGTTCCCACTGTTAGGAATCATTGCTATTATTTGTGTAGGTATGTATATGCATATGAATCCTTTTCAAAAATACAGATTTTATTAAAAATAGGATAGTTTACAAAGGTTTTGAACCCATAGTTTTCTTTTAATATGTCATGAACATATGCATTTTAGGCAAACTTTAATGGCTTTATCTTATACAATATGATTGTCGGTTAATTTCATATTTTTGTATTGCCTTTGTTGTACATGAATTAGCCAGGCATATTGAGTTGGATGTTTCATTCTATGGTATTGATCTATTTGTCTATCTTGATTCCAGTATCATCATTTTTGGTGGTATGGGAAATGAACCCTTGCACTAAGCTACATCCTCAGCCCTTTATGAAAATTTTCATTTTGAGACAGGGTCTTGTTAAATTGCTAAGTTGCCCAGACTGGACTCAAACTTTTGAATCTCTCATTTTAGGCTCCCAGAATGCTGGGATTACAGATGTGTACCACCATGCCAGCCCAATATCATAACTTTGATTAATGTGATTTTTATCAAGACTGGAAATTGGGTAGTAAAATTAGATAACTGTTCTTATTTTTCAAAAATATTTTGGCTGTTTTATGTCCTCTGCATTTCTACCTTAATTTTGAAAATAATTGTCAACATTTCTAAATGAGCCTGTTGAGATTTTAATTGGAATAGTATTATATCTATTGATTCAACTATAGCAAATTGATATTTTATTAACGAATATATTTGTCTCTATGCAAGACTTCTTTAATTTTTCTGAGTGTGTTTTTCAGTTTACAAGGTACACATTGTGCACATTTATTATATTTATCTGTCAGTTGTTCATATCCTAATGTGTCATAACTGGTATTCTTATGCTAATTTCCCCCTGATTGTATTGTTATGCTAATTAAAAGTTCCAGAAATACAATTGAGTTTTTTTATTGACCTTGCATCATCCAACCTCAATAAACTCAATTATCAGTTTAATAAATATTTATATATTCCATAGAGTGTTTTTCATAGATGATCATTTCATCTGTAAGTAAAGAAAATTTACTTCTTTTCCTGTATGAGTGTCTTTTATTTTTTTTTCTAGACTGATTGGACTGGCTAAAGCTCCAGTACAATATTGAATAGAAATTGTGAAAGGAGACATCCTCGTCTAATTCATCTCAGGAGAAACAGTTTTGTCCTTTATCATGAAGCAAGATACTAGCAGTGCAGTTTTTGTATTGCCCTTTACTAGGTTGAAGATGTACCTTCTATTCCTGCTTTGCTATGTTTTATTGGTTTCAGATGGTGGATGTTTGTTACTTTTACTTGATGCATTAAGATGATTACATTCTTTTTCTCTTTTATTCTATTATCATGGTAAATTGTATTAGTTGGTTTGCAAAAGTTAAACTAACTTTGCATTCCTGCAGTAAAATCACGTAGTCATATTGCATTATCTTTTAAAAATATTGTTATATCTGATTTGTTAAATTTGGTAAGGATTAATGCCTGTATGTTCATTAGGGATATTGTTTTGTGCTTTTATTATATTTTTTCTGGTTTTAATACCACCATAATGCTGCCCCCAGAATGAGTTGGAATGTTTTAAATTTTATAGAAGAGTTTGTGTTAAAATTATTGCTTTCTTAAGTATTTTAAGTATTTAATATAATTCACCAGTGCAGTCATCTGAAAGTGGATTTTTTGTGGGAAGTTTCAAAACTCTAACTTACTTAATATTGCTCCTGAAGCTATCTACTTTTTTTCTCTCTCTTTTTTCTCCTCCTCCTCCTCCTCTTTGTGTGTGTGTGTGTGTGTGTTGCTCAGGTACTAGGGACTGAACCTAGGGCCTTCATACGTTTTACTGGGCTACATCCCAAGTCCCTTTTTATGTTTCATTTTGAGACAAGGACACTAGTCGCTAAATTCCCCAGGCTTTTCTTGAACTTTCTATCCTCCTGTCTCCATACAGGTGTGAGCTACCATGACAGGTTATCTATCTGTTCTTGAAGAGGCTTGGCAGTTTATTTCCCATAAAGAATTTGACATTTTTCTTTTTAAGATGAAGGTGATGTCATTGAATTGAGAATTTTGTTTTTAAAATATAATTGTTGGCCTGGAACCATCCTGCAGACAAAACAGCATTTCACAAACCCTTGGAACACACCATGCAGGCCTAGGGGTATCTGAATCCACACTGCTGAGGTTCTGGGCAGCCATAAAGTCCATAGTCATGAGCTCCAGAAGATAGAGCTGCAGTGAAGAGAGGGAACCTCTCTGAGTCTCCTCAATGAAAATTCAAGCCCATTAGAAAAGTGAAGAAAATTTCTGCAATAAAAGCACACTGGACCACCTTGGCTGGTAAGTTGGAGGGATTGGCATCTCCCATAGAAAACCAGACTCGCTTAGGGGAAAGGACATTTGGAACCTGCAATAGAACCTTGCAGAGCTATATCCTGCAGGAGGTCAGTGACCTTAACTTGGGCCTTACACCAGAAATCAGCCTGAATCTCAGTAGACCTTAGCTAGCTTGCTGAGACTAATCCACTTAGGTCTGCACATTGCTGCCTACATTGTCTACCAGGACAATAGAGATATACTAGGAGGGAGGCCCTTTTATATATCTTTTATATCTCTCTACCTTCTTGTTCTGCATTTTGCTCCCTTTTAGTTCTTATTCCTGTCCTATTTTAGATTGGTTTTCCTCTCTTTTTTCTTCCCTCAACTGTCATTATTCTTATAAGAAATGGAATACAGTTTCTAGCTTCCTTATTGCTGTTAGTTTGTTCTGTTCTTGTGTTCTTTCACTCTGTCTTTTTCTCTTGTCTTCAACATTTTCTCAAAATTTGTGCTCTCTAGCCTGACTTCTAATCTTTTCCTCTCCTTGTATCTCTCTATCCCTCCCTCCCAACTCCTTCTAATTCTTATCCTGAAGAGTAAATTTGCTATATTGAAGGGTTGTTTGTTTGGTTTTTTTTTTAACCACAAACATATTTTGGGCTGATCCTCAATTTCAATCTAGCTCATGTGGTTAAAAGTGACAGATTAATTGCTACCACAAATTGTCATTTTTTCAAGCTCTGTTTTATGCTATTGTTGATGTTGATTGTGCCAAATGGGCTAAGGTGTCATGACTGATATAATTCAGATGTCCTCTCTGATATACTGAAAATGACATTGCCTAAGAGTCATTAGAGACTCAAAGCCTAAAGACCTCCTATACCCGGAAGACAAATTCTGAGAAGTAATCATTCCATAAGTGTTCTAAATACAAGCAATAAAGATACTCACAATAAGTAATATTGAAGTATCAGTCCAGAAATTAAGCCAAAAAACTGCACCACCAACAAAAATAGAAATCGGAGAACACCTAAACAAGGCACAAACACAGACTTCCAGCTCAACACAGGTACATTCTGGGGCAACAAAATACAAAGATCTTATAATCAACCACCCAGACACCCTGAACTGATAGCACAGGAAACAACAAAACAGATGAAAGAGGCTCTAGAAAACTTCAACACAGAAATAATTTCCCAGATAATTAGAGATAGTGAGCAGAATGAAAGACCTGATTAGAGACTCTAGAACAGAAACACAGAGAGAAAAAAAAAAAGATGAGCTCAGGACTGTGATGGAAGCCATGAATGTCCAGCATAGGAAAGAGATGGAAACCATAAACACCCAACATAGGATTGAAGTGGAAACAGACTCAAATAGCTATCCAGATTAAAAATTCCATTGAAAGTATTCACAGCAGATTGAGCCAATGTGAGGATAGAACATCAGATATAGAAGACAGGATTGTGGGTAGTGACCATGAAAAGAGAGATTTCTTAAAAATAGTAAGGGACCATGAAAAATTGATCCAGCAGCTGCTAGATGTTGCAAAGAAGAATAACATAAGACTGATAAGTATCCACAAAAAAGCAGGAGAAAGTACAAATGACATTAAAAAAAAACTGTTCACAGAAGTAATGGCAGAAAACTTCCCAGAGGAAAACGATTAGACATACAGATAAGTGTGACATATTGGACTCCAACTAGCCATGATCAAACAAAACTACACCTACACATGTAACAGTCAAGATCCCAGCAACCCAACAGAAGAACAAAATCCTATATGCAGTTATAAAACAGAAACAAATCACATACAAAGGAAAGCCCATTGGAATCACAGTAGAATTTTCAACACAAACCTTCAAGTCAAGGAGAGCCTGGAGTGAAGTATTTCAAGCCCTAAAAGAAAATAACCTCCAATCTAGACTGTTCTATTCTGCAAAATTCTTTCATTGTCTTTTTTCAGGATATTGTTTAGAATTGTTTGGAGTGCTCTTTTGGTGTTCAAGAAATTTCTCAGGTTTTCTTTGTCTTGGAAATATCTTATTTCCCCATTAATTTTGAAATATAGCTGCTGCTGGGCTCTTCTGCTCCTCCACATCGAAGTTGGAGGCCCACTGGATGGTCATGTGGTGCTGGGCTCCTCTGCTGCTCTGTGCCAAAGGGGTGGGCTCGTGAGAGGGCCACAAGCTACTGCTGGGCTCCTCTGCTGCTCCAGCACATAATTATCTTTCAAAATTAGTGGGGAAATTAGATACTTCCATGACAAAGAACTCCTGAGAAACTTCATGAATATCAAACCAGCACTCCAAACAATTCTAAACAGTATCCTAGAAAAAGACAATGAGGGTCATAACTCCATGAAACCCAACAGAGTGAAGCCATCAGGTAAGGCAAGAAATTAAAGGGAAAGGGGAAAAATTAAAAATAAAAGAGCCAACAACAGTAAAATATGAGTCAATACACATCAATTATAATTGTCAATGTTAACAGCCTCAATTCACTAATCAAAAGACAGAATGGCAGAATGGAGTAAGAAGCAAAATCCAACAATGTGCTGTATACAAGAAGCACACTTAATTCCAAAAGAAATTCATAGACTGAAACTAAAAGGATGGAAAACAACTCTCTATGTGACAGAAACCTGGAAAAAAGCAAAGGTAACTATTTTATTTGGAGACAAGGTAGACCTGAAACCAAAACTAATTAAAAGGGACAAAGGAGGTCACTATAACCTTGTAAAGGGAATAATTCAAGAGGAAGATATTACAATAATGAATATATATGCACCAAATACTAGTGCTCCCAACTTTATAAAACAAATATTAATGGAATGAAAAACCAAATAAGTACTAATACAATTGTAGAGGGGGACCTCAACACTCCACTGACACAAATAGACAGATCATCTAGATAAAAAAATCAACAATGAAATACTAGAACTGGAACAAACTTTTGAAAAATATGGACTTAATAGATATCTACAGAATGTTCCACCCCACAAATTCAGAATACACATTTTCTTCCACTGCACTTGGGTCATTCTCCAAACTAGACCACAATGTAGCTCACACAATGTTTTTAAGTAAATGCAATGGAATGGAAGCTTTTCTTTGTGTATTTTCAGACTACAGTGCAATTAAACTGGAGATCAATAGCATAAGAAATTGCAAGAACTTCACAAACACATGAAAACTGAATAACACTCTCCTGAACAACCAATAGGTCACAGAAGAAATTAAAGAAGAAATTAGACAGTTTCTACAGCTAAATGATAATGCTAATACAACATCAGGAACCTATGGGACATAATGAAATCAGTTCTATGAGGAAAAGTCATAGCAGTAAATGCCCATACTAGGTAAATGGAGCAAGCTCAAATAAACAACCTAATACTGAATCTGAAGCTCCTAGAAAAAGAACAGGAAGATAAACCAAAAGCTCATAGAAGGGAGGAATTATAGAGAGCAGAGCAGAAATTAATGCAATGGAGACTAAGAATGATGCAAAAAATCAGTGAATCAAAGGGTTGGCCCTACAAAAGAGTAAATAAAATCAACAAATCCTTAGCCAATCTTATCAAAAAGAAAGAAAGAAAAGACTCAAATTCATTCAATTAGGAATGAAAGGGGTGAAATCACAACAGATCCCACAGAAATATGGACAATCTTTAATATCTACTGCCAGAATCTATACCCCAATAAAATGCAAAATAAAACAAAACACAGAAGAAACAGATTTCTAGATACATATGAATTACCAAAACTGAACAAAGATATAAAAATTCTAAACAACCTATTTCAAGCAGTGAAATTGAAAATGTAATTAAATATTTACCAACAAAGAAAAGCTCAGGTCTGTTGGCTGAACTGCTGAATTCTACAAGAAATTTAGGGAAGACCTAATGCCACTACTTCTCAGACTCTTTAATGAAATTGAAAGGGAAGTGATATTCACAAACTCGTTACCTGAAGCAAGCATTACTCTGATTCCAAAAGCAGAGAAAGACCCAACCAAAAAAGAGAACTGCAGGCCAATCTCCATAATGAATATAGATACTAAAATCCCCAGTAAAATACTGGCAAACAGAATACAGAGAATCATCAAGAAGATCATACACCTTGACCAAGTGAGATTTATCCCATGAATACAAGGATGGTTCAATTTACATAAATCAATAAATGTAATACAGTATATAAACAGACTCAACAACAAAAACCATATGATCATCTCAATCGATGCAGAAAACACATTCAATAAAATCCAACACCCATTCATAATAAAAAAAAAACTGTACAGAAAATTGGAATAGGTGGTCTCTATCTCAATTTGATAAAGGCTATCTATGAAAAACTAACAGCCAACATCATACTAAATTTTCAAAAACTGAAAGCTTTCATGATAAAATCAGGAACAAGACAAGGATGTCACTATCACCATTCCTGTTCAATGTAGTTTTGGAAACATTGGCCACAGCAATTAGACAAGAGAAAGAAATAAAAGGGATAAAGATAGAAAATGAAGAAGTTAAATTGTCATTATTTGCTGATGACATGATACTGTACATAGAAGTCCCACAAAACTCTGCTAAAACCCTTCTAGACTTAATTGAAAGATTCAGTAAAGTAGCTGGATACAAGGTCAATATTCAAAAATCAAGTCTTCTTGTGCACAAATAACAGACTCACTTAGAGAGAAATCAGGGAAACAATTCCTTTCACAATAGCATCCAATAAAATGAAATATCTAGGAATCAATCTAACAAAGGAAGTAAAAGAAAACTTTGAAAACTACAGTGCTCTGAAAAAAGAGATTGAAGAGGATATTAGGAAATGGAAAGACATCCCTTGCTCCTGGGTAGGAAGAACCAATATAGTAAAAATGGCCAAGCTTCCAAAACTGCTATATAGAGTCAGTGCAATCCTGATTGAAATCCCAACAGTATATTTCACAGAACTAGAAAAAAAAAATCCAAAAATCCATTTGAAACCAGAAGAGACATAAAATAGCATAAACAATTG